GGCCGCGCCTCCGGTCGCCCCTCGCCGCCGACGCCAGCCGCGCCGCCCCGCGCCCGAACCTCCTCCGGCGAGCCTCCCCGCAGCCCTGGCGTCCTCTTCCTCCGGCGATCCTCGACGTCTCCGGCGAGAGCCCCGGCGAGCTCAGTTCTGGCCTCGGTTCGCGCGCCGCGAGGAACCCTAGATCTAGCGGTTGACTTTCCCCCTCTCTCCAGTAATTTTTTTGAAAACTTCATCATGCTATATCTCCGCATCCGTAGCTCCGTTTTTGGCATATAGCATATCAAAATGTTCGTCTAAGAGAGTACATCATTTCATCTCATTGCATCATTTTCATTTGAGTTCATATTGATGCCCGAAATGCTGTTAGAAGAGTGCTACTTAAGATATTTGTCAGATCTGCTGCTCCATTTAGATATTTGTCATTTTTGCCATGATTATTGTGTGCATGTTATGCCCAGGTGCTCTACATATGTTTTGTTAAGGGTTTTGGCATCTTTCCATAGGTGCAACCCATGTATTTTTGTGATGTGTGTGGTGACTAGCACGAGCTTGCAAAGTGAGGCACTTGGTAATGCTGATTTCAGGGACTTAGCATTTCCACTAAGTCCTTGAGCTGTTTATCTCATATGGCCATATGTTCATGTTGTTTCCTAGTGATCCGTGCCTCGTTTGAGGATGATCAGTAAGGATGTTTTGTTAATCTTGTAGTGCTCTATCCATCCATGTCTTTGTTTGAAATTATGGAGCACCCTAGCTTGAGTCAATCGAGCTCTACTTTTGTCATTTCGTGAATCTGGGCAGATTGTCTACTTGTTAGCGATTTTACCGATGATGTTGTTGTTGATCCGTGCATGCTATGGTATTGTTTTTGCCATGTCTAGCTTGCATTTTGTGTATTCTTGATGGGTGTATGCTTAGATTGTCATGACTTGCTCTGTAGTGAGTGCATCGAGCTCGTAAACATGCCTACTTGATATCTGTTTCAGCATGCTCCAGTTTTCACTAAGTCTGAGAACTGATTATGTTTTTGCCATGTTCACATGCTTGCAAATGTATTTTCTGATCCCTTTTGGCTCAAGGTCACTGAGGGACTTTTGTTAAGCTCTTTGAGTAGCTCCATGCCATGCTTTACTTTG